GGAAACTTGGAGACTTGTCTTTCTGTATACACTTCACTACTCTGCATAACACATTCTACCAGTTTTATATTCTGCCATGAACTTACTCCCAGTGTGGTCAGTGGAAACTTTGACACCAATTTCCAGGTGATGAGACTTGTCTCAAAGGCTGGAAGTCCTTACTACAAAGTTACTTTGTAATGACATGATAAACCTTGTGGATAAGGAAAGAGTTATCTAAAGGCAGGATTCTCAAGAAGCAGGCCTGCCTGCCTCCCTAGGTAGCAGTAGCAAGTCAGTGAGAAAAAAGGGTGACTTAATTCATATAGCTAGGAAAGGAAGAATCGTGAAGTTTCATCTTAATTTAGTTGACTAATTTATCTTATAATGTTGTGAATGAGATCCAAATCAGGCTCAAGAAGTCAACCAGAAAGAGTAGTAGGGAGGGAGATGGGAGAAAGGAAAGAACATGGAAAATCCTTATTGGGATAAGTAGAAAAGATAAGAATATGGAGAAACTATATGAGTATGGATGGAGTTTACTGAGGGGTGAGGGGGCTGGTTTGATTTGGTTTTGTGGGGTATACAAATTTTTGAGTGGATCAGAATCTTAACTGTAATTAATTTTGGGGGGAGATGCAGAGTGGATATTGGTATCTTTTGGGAGTCCTGCAACTTTCCAGGGGTGGCATTGGTTCTGGAAAAAGTAATTTTCTGTCTTTCTAGTTGGAAACCTGCCTGGTGAGTGGGCTTATCATCCAGGTGGTTATAGGAGCTTTCTTGGCAAAACCCCCATGACAGATTATGTCAGGAAGTATAAGGCAGAAATCTGTAGGAATAATAGAAAAAACTGGCAGGAGCAAAATAATGTTGTCTGAGGATTTACCCATATTTCAAACCATTGCTCATTTAGGAATATGGCACCCAGTCTGATAAAATGATCTCAGCAAGGAGAATAGGGTGGAAGGAAGAATATTCATGAAAACTGAAAAGAAAGGTGCATCCACTTATACTCACAAATAGGTCCAAGCTAAAGCAAGTGAGGCAGGAATGGCACAGAATGATAGGAAGGGCTTATCATAGTAGCACTTTCTGTCAGGCTGAACCAATGCAACTGCATTTTCCAGCCCACTGAAAGTAAAGTTTATGCAGTGAAAAGTGGTAAAGCTGCATAGTGCATGTCACTCCCAGGAGGAGTAATTTGAGGACCTGCATTTAAAAAAAAATATTCTTCTAATATTTATTGGCCAGTAACTGTACACCACTGGGCTGGGAAAAGGAATTAAAAAAAATCAAAAACAAAAAACAAAAACAAAACCCTTTGTTCTGTGTATAATTTAAGTTAGAAAACTTGGCAATGTTCTTCAGAGAGGATATGAGCCTCTGTGTTGTCTAACTCATTGTACATGTGCAAGTTCATTTTTGGAGCTGAATAAAATGGTTAAGTAATTACATACTTCTCATAATTATTGAGTAATTATATACTTCTTATAATTGGTGAGTAATCATTCTGCTATAACTAGAACTTAATGTTACAACTAATTGTATAATTGCTATGTATTAATGCTGTTATCCAGGCAACTTAGAACAAAGTGTTGCCTTGTCAATTTTTTTTTTCAAAATTGCATTAAAAAAAACACAGCATTGTTTATTACCTAACTGGAAAGTGATATTAAAAATGGAATAAAAACAAATGTATAGGGAAATCACATGTTCACTTGGGGTTGCAGAGACTTGCATGAAAGGATATATGTTAAAATATATCAAAAGTGTATTATAGATTTTATTTTATTTTTATTTTAACACATTCAGTGGCAGCCTACCTTTAAACAAGAAGGTCTGAAATGTTAAATACATCTGGCCCTGTCTAAATTTGGGTTTTAAAACTCGTCAGTTATTATATTTTAGCTAACATGTTTTAGAGACCTACTTTTATCATAATCTAGAAAAGTGTTTATGTCATCATCTTCTGTCATATGGCTGGTAATCAGCAGCTCATATGCCTGTATCAAGTTTTGTGAGCCAATGAACAGCCATCCATTTGCAGTTCATGACCACAGTCATGCCTTGGGCTGTTCTTGATACCCCATAGATGAAGCAGATGCTTTTATCTGCTTGGTGGTTTTCTGATGTTGTTCAGTGAAAACCAAATGTTGTGGGAAATCCAAGAGGATTTTCTGAGAGGTTAGCACTATCCCACAGTGCCCTTCACTATGACATTGGATCATGTAAAGGCCCTCTGAAAGCACATCCTTGATCCCAGAATGGTTTTTGAGATTTTAGCTAAGATTTTGGTCAATTCTGGAGGTCCTGTTGAGAGGGCTTGATTGTAAGAGTCTCATTTATAACGGGTTCATTGAGTTATATATCCAAGGACTTAGTATAGGTATTCTGGGACCAAACAGGAGTGCAGTACTCTACAGTTGAGCATCCTGGAGCAAGTGCTGCTCAAAGGCATGACAGGGCAGCTTGGTGTCTGGGACAGTAGTAGCATATGGAGCCACCAGGACATGCCACCGGTAGTAAGACCAGCCATCAGCACTGGTCTAGCTATTTTTCTAGCTCTTCCCTGGCACCCCTCAAAGTCAGCATCCAGGGTGCTTAGTTACATTGCTGGTGCTGCTGTTTGGTGTGCTCTGGGATTAGCACTAGACAGCATCCCTGCTCATTTTGTAAATGTCTTATACTGGCTTTGACTTTTTGAATTCCTTTTATAAGTGGCTTAGAAAGGTCAAACTGGTCTCAGCTCATGCCAATGTACTGTAGGCTAGGTCTGCTTTCTGGCCACATAGGCTTGTACCCAGTACTTCCTGGCTGCTCTGCTGTTCAATAGATGGCTGTTAACATTGTTTTTGAGGGCATGGGGCATAGTTCCTAATAGTTGGAGTAGTTCTCAAGGATCTTGAGGTCAGCATTTGAAGGTGGTATTAATGTTAATGAAATTCATTAATGAATTGTTGGGCTAACAAGGCCATGTGTTCAGCATATATGGCCTTTCTGAATACTGTTTTTTGTGCATCACTCATGTAGTGATACACTCATGTATTGGAGATCTGTGACATGAATGTTGTCCCCTATGGCAGACTATCATATATGGTCAGTATATTGCTAACCTGCTGACCAAGATGTATGAGGTCTCTGTGGTCACTTAAAAGGGGAGGAAATAAGCTGTCAAGTTTGGGGTAGCACTTGAGGGCCCTGGAAAGCTTAAGGAGGAACTATATCTTCATGCCACATCAGAAGTAGAAGAGAAAAGTCAACTGCTGCTGTGCCAATGTTTTGTTTTACTTTGGAAGCCTCTCTCTGTGCGGCTTGTAAGAGCTGGAATTTGGTTGCAGCAATCAAAGCTAGGATTTCAATGCAGTCTTTTCTTTGGGCAAAAGGTTCTGGGTGAATGATATAAATTACGTCAGGACAGCCCTCCTGCTGAACTTCAGGTGGACAGGAAAGATACAGATACATAGCTGGCTTCCTATGGAGGATGGCAGCATCAACCACCTCAAGCCATTTTTTTTTTTAATTTTACCTCTCTGCTTTATGACAGGAAACAATTGCTGCCCCCTTTAACTCTTCAGTTTTTAAGGAATTTAGGGAGATGCCATCCTGGCCAGTAACCTTTTTGTTTCTAGTGGCTTTAGGGCAAGCCCGGTCTATGGGCCAGATTGGGCCCTCAGTGGACTCTCTTTCCCAGCAGCCCCTGCCCATGTTGCTCCAACCACTTTCCATGGAGACCCTGGCCCTATGCTGTCCCAGCAATACCACTTCTGGGGTTTCCATGCAAACCAGCCAGGGTGATGCGAGCAGGGACTGCCTGGAAATGGAATGTGGCCACTGGCCAAATCCACCATTTGCCTACCCCTGCTTTAAAGCCTCAGTCATCTCTGTTGTGGGGTATAGAAAAGATAGAATATACCCGGACACAGAAGACATTTTCTGAAGTATTCTTTCTATAAATTGTGTGATGTTGTTGGTGGGGGCTTTGGAAATGTGGAGAAAATGAACAGTGATAGCATTTGCTACCATTTGTGGCCGTCACAATGACAAGGTCATTGGAGGGCTAGTGACTCCAAGCTGTTGAAGGAGGGCTGATGTTTTGAGGTTGGAGTCAAGAGATCAAGAGATGCTACAGTATCACTCCACCTTTGTAAGTGGCCTCCATTCAGGTTGTCACTCAAAGCTTTTGCTGTGCCTGGGTCTTTAGTCTTGTACTGCTCTAGGAGGTTTTCTGCCTTACATGGCCAGCATGCAGTAACTAACTGAATGTTGCACTGTTGTTCAATGGCATTTCATAGTGTAACTCAAGCTGAATTTGGATTTCAATAAGGAGTAAAAACCCTAAATTATTATGAATTATAACAAGAGGATTTACATTTATATTACTTCAGCTACAGAATGGTTTCATTTTGCCCTATTTTCCCCCTATGCATCACTATTGTATGGCTAACAGCAAACACCAATGTCTGTAAGTTAAATGAACTACAAAATAATTGCAAGACTATCCAAATCAGAGTTCATATTAAGCCATATCTGGATGGGGCTGCAAAGGAAGAACACAGATATGATACAGTTTGTAACACAGTGTATGTGAGGATTAAATTAAAGATCTTGAAAGTGCTAGAGAAGGCAGTGTCTGAAGAAATGCTTCAAGTTTTGTGGTGTGTAGTTTCACCAAATGCATATGAAAGTTAGACAAGAAAAAATGGAAGCTGGGATTTTCATATACATAGAAGAAAATTCTTAAATGGTAGATCTGTCACATTTGCTTTTTCCAGTGAACTCAATGGAGAACTGAGTCTGCTGCTTGTGAGAATTACCACTTAATTCATATTTAGATGGGGTATAATATTAAATGTTCAAATAGAGGTTCAGTCTTGCTCCTGTTGAAATTAATAGCAAAAAGCCCATTGACATCAATAATAGTGGGACTTGATTCATAAAGAACAGAAAATTGCAATAGATACAAAAGCTAACTTTTGCTCTCCCCTCCTTCCTCCCCCGCCCCCCTTTTTTTTTCTTGACAGGTAATGCTAATTACACTATTATAAATGGCACACAGATCTTATACAACAGCAGAGACTTCAATGTATGGGTGCCCATTAGAGGACTGATTCCATTTTCCAACTACACAGTACAAGTAAATGCTTCTAATAGCCAAGGCAGCTTGATAAGTGACCCTGTAAAAATAGTTATGCCACCAGGGGGTAAGTATAAAAAAAGTATCATTTCTCTGAATGTAACAAATTTTCACATATTCTACCAATCACATTATTTGTTACTGCAAATCCTTATTTGAAGTTCAGAGCAACATGTTCATAATCAGCAGTTTTTATTACAAAATTTGTTCTTTTCAGTGTTTAGTATGACCGTATTTAATTTTAAAGCTCTTTAAGTTATGAAAACAGAAGCAGATATATAGTGAACATAGATTGCATGCATGACATTTCTTGTAGTGGGTTTTTTTGTTAGTGGCTCTTAACTAGGCTGGTCTCATATAAAAAATTAAACAGAAGATATGTACATACACTTGCACACAGTATGTAATGTGATGTTGTATAGAATTTGTATGCTACATACAAGAGCAGTATCTACTGGATATGTAGTTACGTTTTTTTTTCTTACAGGTACAAAATAGATTAAGCTATATACTGAGCTAGCTCTATAAATTGGGGTAGCTAGACTTAATTTATTGCTGATTTATGTTAGGTAAGTGTGACCACCCTCAAGCTGTAGCCCTTGGCCATACTACTGCCCTCTGGCAGAGAGGAACTTGACTTGCTCTCCCAGACATTTGATAGCTCACAAAAGGGTGGGCAAAATACAGCCCACAGTCCGGATCCAGCCCAAGAAATTATTTTACCTGGCCTGTGGCTGCTCCTGTGAAGCAGAATTGTATCTAGCCCACAGCTACCCTGGCTTTTGGTGCCTCTCACCCTTCCCCTTCCCCAAGCCAGCCAGCTGCAGGAGCAGCAGGAGGAGGCATTCCCTTCCCCTCCTCAGCTGGCCCTGCCTCTCCTGCCCCCCAGCCCCCAGTGTAAGCTCCAAGACAGGGGGCACCTAGCTCCTGACCAGGCTTCTGCGTGGCAAGGCTGCCTGCTTCCTGCTTTGACCCTCCACCCACTGCATCAAAGCACGGGTAAAGTTCAAGAGGAAGAGGGCCAGGAGCTGTGGGATATCCAGGCTCTGCCAGGCTGGGGCCTTTTAGGGGCATGGGCACCAGTGCCATGCTGCGTTCCCACATGCCACTTTAGGCTTCACCACATTGGGTGCATCTAAAGCAGCTGGTGTGGCTCCTGCTTGACCCTGAGTCCTTGACACATTGCTGGGCTGGGCCAGTGTTGTGCTGTATTCCATTATGCTGCCTTTGGCCATGTGGGTGCAGCTGGCCTGGCTCCTTTAGTTTCTGTGGTATCTGTCTCCCACACTTTCTCACCACTCTTCCTCGAACTGTCTCAGTTTAATGGTCCTGACCCTTGCATATGCAGGCTTCTTCATAAAGATAATCCTTAAATATTATTCCCTTACCAAAAATTTGGCTTGTTTCCTTTGAAAGGCTATTAGTTGGTCCCCCAGTGTCACTGTAGGTTTGCTCATGTCTTATCCAGGGTGGGGCCTAGCTCTGGGTCCTTTGGATACAGAATAACCGACAATGCCTCTTTCTCTTTCCATGGTTTTAACATGTTCTCACGGTATATTTGTCTTTGCTTTTTCCCCCAGGTAATCTGATTTCATAATCCACAGGTCCTATTCACCTAATGACTTCATAAGGCCCTTGCCATTGGGCCAGCAATTTTGATTCCTGATCAGGGAGTAGTGTTAAGACCCTAACCCCCACTTCAAACTACTGGTCCCAGGCTTGTCTATTGTAGGAGTCTTCTTGCCTCCCTTGAGTTTCCTACAAGTTCTCTTTTGCTAATTCTCATATGACCTTTTATGTAAAATTGCTGCCCTCATTGGTAGGGCTGTGTGAAGCTTCAGTTGCTGATTTGATTTGGAGGAGATTTGATCTGATTTGGAGGCTGAATCTCTGAATCTAAATTGAATTGGGAGACCAGTTAAAAGGTCCGAATCAATTCAAAATCTCCAAATTGATTCAGAAAAGATTCAGAGATTCGGGCAGTCCCTGCTCACTGCCGCAGGGAGTGAACCTGAGTTCCATGCTGGTTAGTAGGGGGCCGGGATGGAGGAGGAGGGAGGGGACCATGGGGGGACCCCCACCAGGCCCCATTCCCTGCCTGCTCCCCCAGCCCCGCTGAGTGCCCCTCAACCCCCACCCACTCTCCCAGCCCTGTCAATAGCTGCCCTGCCCAGCCCCAGCATCCTGGTGCTTAAAAAAAACCCCAAAAAACAAGAAACCTTCACTCACTGGCTGCTGCAGCAGCTGTCGGGAGCTCTGGGGGCTTGTGGCAGAGCCCCCCTATGCAGTGCAGGGCAATGGGGGGCAGCAGGGATTGCTCACCCATCTGGCAGGAGCTGGTGAGTGTAGCAGGCAGGGGATAGGGCTTGTTCAATTCAGAGATTTGGTCGATTTGGCAGTGGCTAAATCTCTGAATTAGATTCGGTTGTATTGATTCAGGACAGTGATTTGAATCACCGAATCGAATCACTGGCCCCCGAATTGGCTGAATCCAAATCCAAAGCAAATACTAGCCACTTCACACAGGCCTACTGGTTGGACAGTATTTCCCTCAGTTAGTCAACCCTTGTGAAAAATGTTAATAGTTCCCCCACAGTCTTAGGAGCTGTAACTGCTTGCATTGGAACCACTTCTGGATAACTAGTTTCATAGTGCAGTAGAAATAGGATATATTGGTACCCTGCAGCACTCTTTTCTACGGGACCCATGATGTCTGTTGTGACCTGCTCAAAGGGCAGTTTTGGCATCAGAATATGTGCGGCCACTGGGGATTTCCCAGGGGCCCCAAGCTGACAGTCTGGGGAGGACTTGCAGAATCTGGCTACATCTGTATGAATGCCATGCCAAAAAAGCTTCAATTGCAACTGTTCTTTGGTCTTGTCCTCATAGGCAACTTATGAGCTATTTTCATCAGTGCCCTTCTATACATTTTTTGGATTATAAGTTGCTCTGTCTCTTCCCCAGATACTGACTATATCAATGTAGAATAACAAATCCTTGTGTACTTCAAATCAGGAGTAGATCTGCATCAGTTAAGGTCATTGCACCTCCCCTTTGAGTTTTGCTAAATGCTTCTTTTAGATTTTGTTAAAGTTGACT